TATATATATAATTCTGAAACTGTAAATGGTCTTAGATACAGCAGCTATAGCTCACCAATATTTTAAGGATCTATACACTTTAGGACTCATCTGAAATAACACCTGATGATATATAATATATTTGCATAAAGTATAACCCTTTTTGTGTCTAACCCCTTACCCTGAAATTCCTTGACATTTCTTTTATTTTTTTGTTAGGTGTCACGCTAAAGGTAAGAATTGGTAGAACTCATTTGACACCCTGTTTTTCAAAGCTCCCTGTAGCATAAAATGGTCTGAAATTATAAAGCGCTTTATCAAGTCCAGTCAGACCCCAAAGCACTTTACAYTCACAGTCATTCACCCAGTCACACACACATTCAYACTGATGGTGGTAAGCTACATTGTAGCTACAGCTGCCCTGGGGCACACTGACAGATGTGGGTCTGCCATGCGCCAGCACCACAGGACCCTCTGACCACCTTCGTAGGCAAGGTCGGTGAAGTGTTTTGCCCAAGGACACAACAACTGTGGCAGCTAGAATGGGGTATCGAACGGGCAACCCTCCAGTTTACCACTCAGCCACAGCTGCAGAAACCTCACGGTTTTTGCCCACCAGTGGAACAAAGACTATTTAAAGTTAGGTTTTTATATTTTATGCTACTCATGTGTTTGTGTTGTGCTTTTGTTTGTGCATTTTCTTTTTCTTTAGTGTTTTACCATCAACCTGACGTACTTCGTACAAAGGGTTCAACTGTTTGAAGCCACACCCATGTCATCTAAAATATTCAAAACTAAATGTGAATCAAGTCAGTCATCTGTACTTTTGAGATAAATCTAATCTAAATGAATCTCGTCTTCTGATTCAACAAGTTTTAAAGCAAAAATAGAAAATACATTTTTAAAAGGATTTGTTGAGCAAGATTATGGCTCGTTTGTGGAAAAAGGTAGCCTAAATTTGGCAAACAAAGGGAATATTGGAATGGTGTTTGAAAAGTAAAATGAAAGTCCTAACGTTGACATGAATATTACAGGAATGGTGTAAGAAGCTTGTAGGATAATTCCAAGGCCTGAAGCTCATAAAAAGTCTTGTTTTTTAACCTCCGAGAATCATATTCCATCATAGTCTTATTACAGATGTAAATTTCATCTAAGCCATCGTCTTTTATTTTTCAGACTTTGAAGCTTAACACACCATGGAATTTTTTTTATGAAAAACTTGAGAAATTCTGGGAATTTTCCATATATGCACTGTATCTGAAAAAAAAAAAGTTGTTTTTCTCTTTAACACCTGTGAATGTCAACAGTAGCTCATAGGAGCCAGAATGGGCGAGGCTTTTTTTTTTTTTTTTTTAATCTTCCAGTGTTTCTCTTTGTAGAGAATCACTCTGAAACTGCTCTGGTGACATGTTATCTCCTGAAAAGGCAGCGTCCCCAGATGGAAAATAACTGGAGAATGTTTCTGAATAACAGCAGCTATGGTGAGTTTAATCACCCTCTTTTTTTTTTAATTCAAAGCCATCACTGATCATGTTAGAGCAAATTATAGAGAGAATTTCAGTGTGATGATTTTATTCATGTTGCTATTTGTCAGTAATTTATTCCAGATTGGTAACGCTAACAGAACACAATATTACAACCCGCTTCTAGGGTTCTGAAACAGACAAATGTGATTTTTAATTTAATTATTTATTGAAAATAAGTTTAATTTCCAATAAGACTGAATTGCCTCAATTATCATCAAATATGTTCGACACAATAGAACACATAAAATACAGAATTTACATAAAAAACAGCAAAACCTGCCGCAACCTTTCATTTTTATGTCTTGCTCCAAGGCTTCCCGTTAAATTTTTATAAAAGCGGAGAGGAATAGTTCTTYAAAATCCAAGGTATTTATGTAATTATGTATTTGTTTATGTATTGCTTGATTGACTTAACTTGTTTTTGGTTCAGTCCATATTATTTCCAGAGTAAATGTATCCGACATATTTATTGTCCCAGATTTAAAAGATTCTTGGAAAGCTCAAGGRAACGTGTTGTGACTGCACATAAAAGACTACATTTGAATTGCAGTTTGTCAAAGAAACACAGTTTTAATGAATTTCGTTGCATTTAAGAAAAAATACAACAATAACACAGTTTGATGGAGATAAAATGTTTTGGCATCAATGTGATYCCTGAAGAGCAGCTGGGTGAGAATTTAAACAGATGATGATCAGCTGATGATGCAACTCTTCGGTCTTTTTTTTTTACTGTTCAAGTCAAGACTTCTATAAGAAAGAGTGTGTCTGTTTTACTTTTTGAACTGTTTCCCACTGGTTCTCTACTTTTTCTGTTTACAGATGTTTTTTGAAGACACACTCATTCACTCACTCTGTCCATCCATCCATCCATCCATCCATCCATCCATCCATCCATCCATCCATCCATCCATCCATCCATCCATCCATCCATCCATCCATCCATCC